ACTATACAGAAAATAATGAATTTTAACTGATCAGTAATCAGGAAATGTATAAGTATTACTCATTACAAGCTCATTACTGATTTTTGTCATAAATAATACCTTTTAATCGTACTAGTATTGTGTATTATCTATAATTTGCCACAACCTACAACTCTACTGCTTACTATATTTTGATTCTGCTATAAACTGGTAACGTAAAATTTAGATATGACAACGCGCTTTACTCTTAATCATTATTGGTTTTACTATAGATAGTTACATACAGCGCCATGTGCCCGCGAATAGATCAAGAAATATCAATGAGGTTACGTACAGCGCCATCTGCCCGCGAATAGATCAAGCAATAATGACGATAATTCTGTCAATTCAGATCCCGAGTTTGAGAGTTACAAACAAACATACATACAAACATACATACATACAGGTGAAGCTAATATAAAGCGTGTAAAAAATCGAAGAGACTTGTTTGTTATAGTAAATATTGCTCAACAATGAATATATTCTTTTGATACGTTTGCTGTATTCGCAAAGGTCCGGGTATTAGATATCAAAATTGAATTGAAGAAGTCACAGGGATAAGATTACCATGACTGAAATTATATAAGTACAATAAAAATATACCTCGACAGTAACATTGCCCAAGACTGCTTTTTCATGCATCACATATAGTTCGTATGGAAAGCTTCCGGTGGGCCTTGGGATGACTCTGGTGAAGTATTTGTAGAGCTTGTTTATAGGTGTAGTCGACGGTATCGACATGACACAGTACTCTCTTCCGGGAAAGCATTCGAAAGCTGCTTCGTAGAGCATTATGAGTCCATATTCATGTTCTGGTAGCGTTGCCGCTATTTCTAAAGCGAAAGCGTTGGGTTCTCCGTTGAATTCCGGAATCTTCTGAATCTTTCCTCTTGAAGAAGAATCTGGCAATAGAGAAAAAGTAATGATTAAATATTCACTATAATACTTATACAGGGCGTCCCTGGACTTCCTGGATTTTTGGCTGCAGATTCTGGTAATAATTGGATAAGATAGGACCCAACCTGTGGCCGGCCAGGCCACAGGACCTAACGCCTATGGACTTACCTCTGGGAGAAGGTTGAAAGATCTTATTTTCAAATTGCCGATCAATTCTAGATACGAATTGGAAGCGGCAGTGATGCAAATTTTGGCTTGTCTCACTCCCATTGAAATAATTAATTCGGCAAAAACCATTCAGAAAAGGTGTCGCATGTGTATAGGAGAAGCTGTTAAACAGTTCGAATACCTTCTCTGAGGAAATATATTTCATTGTTTGTTCTTTATCATTATTATTATTATTTTTGGAGTTTCATTTACTGGTAGTAAATATAGCATAAATTGTTATTGTTGTTGTTGGGATAAGTAATTTTAAGCTCTATTGAAATATGCAGGAATATATATGGTGTTTCATTACAAAATTTTGATAATCAAGGGTAAATGGTTGTAGAATTTAATTGATGCGTAATGCGGCCCATGCTCTGTGTTTTTCAATCTATGTTTAGGAACAATATAATTGGATTTCTGTCGGGTGGAATACTCATGTCTATATTTGTCATCTTCAAAATTCGATTTGTTCTCGTTTACAAAAAGTACACACATATATATAGCATATACAGTGAGCATTTTGTTACCCTTGAAGGTACCACGATAAGTATCTGTGAAATTCATATTGTACATTGTTTTCAATATACGTTTCTGCATTATGAAAATACGTTCCAGTTGTGTACTCCCTCTCTATACTAATATTCCATATTTCACCAGAGGATAAACAGTCCCATAATATGCCGTTTTCAGTGCATCGATTTTCAGGTGACGTCTCAACACTCGAATTGCATAACACTTATTTGCTAGTTTTTTTGCAAGATAGTCAATATGTACCTCATAATTCAGTTTATCATCTATATAAATTCCTAACAGTTTTGTACTCATTGATATATTTAGTCTTTCACTACTGAGCTGAAAATACTCCGGAATAGAAATATTCATGTGAACAGTTTTAAACAAAATGCAGTCTGTTTTAGATGTGTTTAAGAATAACTTGTTGGTATTGAAATATGTGGATGCTATAGAAATGCTATTTGAAATGGATTTTTCCAAGTTGAGGTGAGATTGGAATCATCTGCATAGCTCACAACTTTAGTACTTGATTTTTTGTAAATTTCAGAGAAATCATGTAAGTGCAAATGAGTTGATATGCAGTGGTGAGTAATGAAAAGGAAGTACAATATTTCTGTAGTTTACTGTAGATGGCGTCCAAAAGATACCAGTTAATTTGGAGATCATTTTCCAATACATTTAATTGAGTTCCTATAAAAATGGAATTTTAAACTGCGCCTCCGCAAACTCAAACTGATCATTTTCACCTGATATTTTCTTACTGAAATGAGAAAATAGAAAGAGTACTACTGAAATGAGAAAATAGAAAGAGTACGTCATAATATCATCGGGTGAATTAATGAAATACTAAGTATTTATGGGACTTAACGTGACAAATTTTATAGAAAATCCTTATTTCATGATATAAGTGCAACTCACATCCCGAAACCCAGTCCAACTCGATCAGCCGAGGATCTTTGTCATGCAATTCAAGATATTGGCTGAGCAAACCCTGACTATCCTCATCTGATCCCAAACTAGATGGAATCGCTTCTTTCTCTTCATCGTCTTGGAATAGAAACATGGAGGCAGATGTAAACACCAGAGAGAACTGGTCCGACTCACTGCCTGATATGTGAACCAACAACTCGTCTTCGGAACTTCTTGATCCGAATTGGCAAGATCGCTGGTCTATTATTTCTAGAATTCTGTAATGAAATGAGAAGGTTTGAGGTATGAATCAGAATTGGAATGTTTATACCACAAGTCTGCAAGAAACAAGCTGTCTGGATGTTTTCAACGGATTTCTATGTAATTGGGTGTTCACAAAACTAAAAAATACTCAAAAAATACCAGAATGTCGAGTTATTTCGTAAAACGCAAAATTGTATTATTGGGCTAACTTGAAGTCATAAATAAATTGCCACAACTTTATTTTTATTACTAGTTTTGAATGTATCAGGCCATAACAAAGTCACCAATTTGATAAAAACCACCAAGCAAAATTATTATAAGAACAGAATGGAATACAAAAAACAAGATACCAAACAACTATGGAATATTGTGAAAGAAATCACCGGCACTAAACCTAAATCAACTACAATTGGACCAATAAAAAATGATCAGGGAGTACTCTTAACAAACAACAAAGACATATCCAATGAATTCAACGATAATTTCGTAAATATTGTAAAGAAATTGGCAAATAAAATAGTCAAAAATGATAGCCTCTTTTTTCATCCAAACATTTTACCAAACTCTTTGTCTTAAGCCTAACTGATAAAAATGAAGTAAACGCTTTAATCTGCGACCTTAAAAACAAAAAGGTGGTAGGGAAATACGAAATCAAAGCAGAACTGCTAAAATCAATATCACATTATATACTAGATCCTTTAGTTTTTATTATTAATAAATGTATATTACTTGGTGTGTGGCCCGACTCATTTAAAACTGCAGTAGTGACTCATATCCATAAAAAAAGAGATAACANTTCGTATTGAATAATTTTTACTAACTGAGTTTTGCGATTGGCTGAAGAGACATAAAATTAAATTTAAAGTCATGTTACGGTGACGAATAGAAATCGGAAATGCGGCGATGGTTATCGCCGTCGTGTTCAATACAGGAACTGATCACGATTTGAGTGTTGAGATTCGATATTTAAGATTACTTAAAATTTTTGTTGCCTGTTTAAAATGAGGGTCCTTGGACTAGTACTAATAGTAATAACGAGTGTAATAACAACGCAGACTTTTTTCAGTGTAGTGATTCCAATAGCGATGGTGAACAATGCGAAAAAGAGATACCAGTGATCTAGTGGACTTCAAAGACTCCAGGAAATCGGTCGGTGGGAAAAATGATACATTCTTAGGAAACTGCAGCTACATGAACAGGTGCTTGATTTTGGTGAATAAGTAGGAAATATTCTTGTTTCATTTCATCGTTAATGAACAACACTTGTAAAATGCTTCTCATGTAGCAAGTATTTCCTAAATTCTCTAATCCAATTTTCTCCGCAAGATTTTTGGGACAACTGTTTACTAATTAGTAAGGAAGAAGATGTTTCACAGAATCTGCATCAAAACCGTTTCTCAAGCTGTAGACGATACTTCCAATTCCCAACCATCAAAGTTGCTTTATAATTCCATGGTGTTGCAACAGTTTCATTTTATTAGTATTTTATAATTACTTCTAAAATGCTAATTGATTATATTAGATGATCGGTGAACACAATACAGTTGTAGGCAATAAAAGTGTTTTATAAATTTGTCATAGAAACGTTTATGAAATAAAATTAAAAAACCATTATAAAATAGTCAGGAAATTATCACAGAAACGTTTTT